TAATTGTAAAACATCTGAAAGAAATGCTTTATGATTTAATCAGTGTGACATGGCCTACTTTATTTATACGGCCGGATATTTTACATTTTGAAGAAAAAAATAGAAGGCCAGTTTTTAAAATTGTAATGTTTCAAAAATTTAATACGTTTTGAACATTTTCAATATTATTTTACTTTCTACATTTAAAAAGTCCACAAAAGTTGAATTTATTCATAATTTTAGATATTAAACGAACATTTATTAGGAAATAAATAGTGTTTATTTTAAAATTTAGTATTAGTAAAAACGATGTAAGAAACAAGAGCAGTTATAAAAAATATTTAGATGTTTCTCTTTTTTCATTTAAAAATAAAATAATTACATATAATTTATTAAATTTTCTCAAATTTTCTCTTTTTAAAAGATTTTACATGATCAACAGCTACTTCACTGGTAGAGATAATTCTTTTATTATTAAGAAAAATTCTTCCAGCAAGTTTTATCCCAGTTTTCTCATGCATGGGATAAGAAAAAGTCTGAAAAGAGTCATAAAAGTGGTTTAACAAATATTCTAAAGCTTGTCGTGCATGTAAACTAAATTTCTTTATTTTTTTATAAAAGTAGTCAATCGTAGCAAAGGATGTGCAAACATAATCCAAAAGTGATAGTGAAGGAATAGTGAAACCACCCCTAGAAATAATTGTTAAATAAGTATGATCAGGATTGCTTTCATCAATATTGACACAACATAAAAATTCTTTACAACATGTACCAAAACGTTTTTTAAGTTTCTTTGCTATATAACCAGCAATATGAGCACCTACTTCCCTACTTTCTGGTGCAAGTGTCATGATTTCTGGAGTACACTGAGCTTCATCATATCAAGAAGAAAGTTTTTCCAATCTGTTAAATTATTTTCTGACTCAGGCACTTTTAAACTATCATCGAAGTTAATACTTTCTTTAACAATACTTTTGATTTTTAATATTTTTTCAGAAATAGTGACATCTTTTAAACCTACCAAAAATCTTCCACCGCTCATTTGTCTATATTGTCCAAATCTCCTTTCTAATGGGTCACTTTGAAATCTCGCAGTTAAAACAAAGTGATATTCATCATTAAGCAAGTCCTCGAACAATGAGGCATGACTATTAAGTGTTCTTATTAGTGCTGCAGCTGTCTGAACACTTAAAGTAAACTTCTCACAGTTTGGTATCTTTTGTGATTGCCAAACTTCAATCCAATGTGCCATTTCCCGAAGAAATTCAGGTTTTTTATCACCAGAAACGACTGCATTACGTAAAATATTACATGCTGAATACTGACATTTAGAATTTGATAAAACCCACCACTTGTTAAATAATGTAAGAAAAATCTGCACTACTTTTAAGATCTGGAAAATATGAGTGAATCGCTGCTGATGTAGTTTCATCAAAAATTGCAAGTGCTAAAGAAACATTTTGTTTAAAATTGCCAGGATGTAACACTTTCATTGTTATTTTTGGTGCTTTACGCAAACCAGCATCAAGAGTGAGGTCTTTTTCATAAATATTGTGGAAGGTACTCCATTTAATTTCTCCCCCACATACAATTATAGGATCTTTAAATCCATTAAAGTTAAAATCTGGAAATAAAAATCTTTTGCAATTTATCAAGTTATTTCTGATGTTTTTAATAAGATGTACAGCATCAAAACAGAGGTAAATTTTTTTTAGATTGTAAATAAAAAACAAATCTTCAGCTTGTTGATTCGATGCACAAAGGATTTTTTTAAAACAAGAAACATTAGCAGAATGGTTGTCACACACAATAACTCTAACATTAAATTCACATTCAGTTAAAATACGAAGACATTCAAAAATTTCTTCTTTCAACCATTCAGCATTGATTGTTTTTTCAGGAGACGTTTTGATCACATATGGAATGTTTTGTTTCAGGCCAACTATCATAAAACAAACTATTCCCTTATACATTTCTCCAGACTCATCACTACCAATCATCTCTCCAACAAAATACTCCTCACATTTTTGCAAGTACATTTCATCAAAAATCAAGCAAATGTCTTGAGATATCTTACTTTCTAATTTTAAACGTTTTGCACAACTTAGAGCATCAGTATTTCCACTAGTTATTTTTTTAAGTAATGATAATGATGGTAAAGGCAATTCTTCACGCCAAAGTTGGTATGACTGCATAGAAGTATATCGTAATATCAGTGAATACCTTATAATATTGGCTGAATAAATAAGTTTTTTCATATATTTAATTTGCTGTAATTCAGTCAATACAGATGAAAATTGTTCGGCTTGTGATTTAATGTAGGTAGGAAAATTATGAAGCATACTTTTACAAGATAAACGACATCTCTTCTTTGACAAAACCACTGAGGTAATGGCAGAGGTGAACCTCTGTAAAATAATTTAACATGCATCTCATTGTTTACACGAATGCACTCTGTAACCTCTGGAATAGATAAAGTACTATGACTCAATTTATAAAAAATTACATGATCATCATACTTCAAGAATGAAAAACCATCTGGAGCAAAACTTTCAGTAATATCGTTAAAGCTATTAATCAAATCATTCAATAAAAACTGTTCATATTGATCTGACTGAAATATTCTTTTAGTTGGTGATTTTCTTAATGAATTAGAAGATTTTATAAGTTGTAATGAACCTTCTTCAGTCAAATTTGTGCAGTCAAAAATAGTTGGAATAGGCTTTAAATTTTTTATTAATCTAAAACGTTGGTTCTTATTACCTTTCTTATAATATTTTTTTTCAAAATGTTTGATGCATATAACGGAAGAATTAGTAGGTGTCCAATCTTTTCTATTTACAAATTTAATCCAATATTTTTTTAACTCTTCATTTTTTGGAAACGAAAATACTACTGTAGATACTTCACCATAATTATGATAATTTGAACGACAATTTACGACGCAACATTTGTTAACCATCTTTTTAAACTTCCAAAGCTGCTTTCTTAAAAACACTTTTCCAGAAAACTGGCCTTCTATTTTTTCCTTCAAAATGTAAAATATCCGGCCGTATAAATAAAGTAGGCCATGAATGTGATATTGATTTACGCAGTGATGAAATAACAGGATCAATGGAAACTAGAAGTCTATTGATAAGATCAGTGTTTGTTACTTTTCTGGATGTTTTTCGGCTGAAATTTTTGCAATAAGATTTGAAATCTTTATTTGACCTACCTCTGACATAAGTCCCATGGGTAATTTAAGGCTTTTAATTATAACATGTCAATATATCAATATTTTATGAAGTGATTGAGCCATTTAATACCATAAATAAAGGGATACATATAGTCTAAAAATGTCAAAACGATAATCCTTGAATTTTAAGATAACTATTTCATATCCTGTAGAGTTTGTTAGCAATAAAATGTGAATTCTGATTAAAAGGTTTTCATTAATACCCAAACATTCAGCTGTTAGTTCATATGCTGCAAAAGCACGCCTTGAGATATTGCCATCATTGCTTGTTCGAGAACCACCACTCCTAGGCAAATCAATAACAAGTCCCATTTTTTTCATAAAATCAGTCGGAATCTTTTGTTTAGCTATAGATGCCTTTTCTTTGTGTTAGTTAGATTTTGCTTGCCACTTTTTTGTTTCTTTTTTATGTTCAATGTGCAAAACCATCTCAAAAAATTGAATCCATTCATGAAAAATTGTTTAAACTCTCTGTTAATATAATCTATATTAAAGATATCAAGACTATTCATATTTTTTGAAGAGACACCACGCACCGAACAGCATTGGTATGAATTAGTATTTTTTTGAGAATATTGTTTGAACTATCCCATTAATCATTGTTAGTTCAATAATAAAATTTACTTTATTAGAAGAACCGGAAACCTCTTGTATTGAAATCATACCCAAGCTTTCTCACTTTTAATGTACTGATCTTCTTCAAATGCAGATTCCTTGAATTTCATTTTGTAAGCAAATCTATTGGGTCTACAATAGGCTGTGGATGACGACCTATGATTCTTC